TAATCTTTCATAACTTTTGTTTAATAACAGTAATCACAGTTAAATGTTTTATTTTTAAAGTTGAACCCCTGGTTCTCTTTTAGCAAAGGAATCCAAGAAAGCTCGAGGCAAGAAAAAAGTGAGAGAACTGAATAGGAAAGGAGATAATAAAGAAGGTGGAGAAATGGATGCCTATGTAGACAAGCAGGTTGATGCTAAGGTTGGTTTGAAAGCATTTATAATTGACTTTCATTTCTAGATACTTTATTTGTAGCATTATAAAATGATTTACATAAATATTGTCTGGCTAATGATAACAATACCTATTATATTTTTACAAATAAGTACTCATTAAATGCTACTAAGTTGTAAGGTATTAGAAAAGGTAACTTTCCCTTTGTGCAGTAATACTAATGAAAATGTTTTTATCATTAGGTAATGTAAAAGTGTAGAAGAAATAGCTGAAATTAAAGTTTACATTGTTTTATTAAATACAATGTTATTTGTTATTTTGAATTATTGAGGAAAATGAGTTCCCCCCAACACACAATTTAAAGCACATAAACACTTAATACTTCAACATTAAACTTTCTGATAGTACTGGAGTTAATGTAAGGTTGAAGGATTTAATTTGCATTCATTGTGCTGTTTTGATGAAATTTGGTTTGGAAGATTTTTCAATTTCAATATCATAAACATACACTTAAGATCTAATTACAAAAGTCCATTTAAAAAAACAACTCATTAATACTTAATTTTTAAAAATGATTTTTACTTAATATAAATGTATTTTCTGTCATTGACAAGGTTTCATACACAACATTTGTCAAAAAATTGTTCTTTAAATTTACATTAAAGTAAGTTATTTTCAATATATAGCCAGTAATCACGACAGTTCAAGAATCTGTGGCATCAGTAAAAAGCCAAGTGTCTTCCTCATTGCCTGTACCAGCTGGCTCCACAAAAATTATTAATGATGTCAAGGTTGAGCCATCATGCAACGATCTAAATTCAGAACCACTTATAAAGACATCGATAGTAGAACCCGCAGTTTCAACATTTAGCCAAGTGTCTTCCACATCTTCTGTTTCTTCGCTGGCCTCCTCAATTTCAACCACTGATAACAAATTGGAGCTATCCGAGGTAGAAAGAAAAGTTGCAGAGAAGAATGAAGAGAACATAAGAGTGTCACAAGAAAGAGAGAATGAAGTGGAAGGAAAAGATATATCTGAATTAGAACTTCCCAAAGAAGAGATTAAACTGAAGTATACATACCAAGAAGGTTGGTTTAATTAAAGAATTTTACCATAAATAGCAAAACATTAGCTTAATTATCAGAACTCTGAAGTATTAGAAAGACTGTACTCATTATCACTGTACATAGTTGTATATTTTCTATGTCTTGGTGTTTTAATGTTTTTATTAATTGGTTGAGGTTGTCATTTAATACAGCTAAAACTGGATAACAAAGTATTTCCTTAGTAATGTTGAACTTGTTCATTGTGTATAGAAAAGGCATTAGCTAACAAATTGTATTCAGTGATAGTATAAATATTTCTTTGTGTATTTAGCTTGACTTGTAAACAGTTTTAAGTTTTATAAATTAATATTTAAAATAGCTCAGTTAGTTACTTGTGTTGTTCTCTGTTAATATTTATCTTGAGCCTTATTTTCTGAGTAGCAATTAATTCACTGGTAATTCAGCCATGCGATAAACAAGACTCAGCTTGTAGTTGTCATTAGGCTCATGGTGTGTGCATTTTTCTTTAATCAGAATTTTGCAGTTCTCTTAACAGATCTAAATGTTGCTTGAATGTACATTTTAGAGATCTTAAAATTTAGTGTTCTGTAAAGAAATTTCATTAGCATTTAAGTGACTTGTGAACACGCGTTATCATTTTCACTCTTAACCCAATATATCCTATTGCTTTCTACACTGTTCATGCTAGATCAAGTTAACTTGATGTGCTCTTCCATAATCCCTAAATTTCACTTGAATATCAAGTGAACCACTGGTTTCAGAGAGACACTGCCTAATAATGAAACAAACTTAAGTGTTCATCTTGCATGAAAATGTAAAGTTGATAGTATATAAATATATGGTTTAATAGTCATAACGTTAATATGTATATAACACGCACACACACAAAAATTGTGTTAAGTATTTGGGCATTGCTGTATTTTATGGGGAGGGGGCTTTCAGTAAATCTCAGGAATGTTTTGACTTCTTAGCTATTTGTAGTAAAGAAATTTATGCTGTTTGAATGGAATTTATAGTATTACCTGAAAGTGTATCGTCGAGATGCTACTTATTTAATGATAATAAATGTCTGAATGGTCAAACAAATAGCACTAAGTGATTAAAAGTGTTGGACATAAATTGAAGATAACTATGTTGATGGTTTAAATTTTTCATATTTTGTTTTATAATTGATCTCGGGTCATGTACCCATTAAAGAAAAACGTGTGTGCATGTGTATGTTTTGAATCAGAGATAAGTTAACCAGTACCATAGTGTATGTAAGGAAATTAGTAAGCATATTCAGAAGTACAGTATGTTAATTATTTTTGGGAAGTGTAAATATTTTGAGGCAGCATATGTTCAAAGTAAGCATGGTGTAATAATACTTGTTTCAATAGTTGGTATAAATCTGTTTCTTAAACCTGGGTCAACACTATTCAAATGTAACCATAAACTTTTTTTCTTACATACTGTTTCATTGTAAAGAATTCGGGTTGTTTTGTCTATTGTGAAAACTCACATTTGTTTTATAACTGTTACTTATGTTGTATACCAGTTGGCTTGATGAGCCCTGGTATTGGGCGAAAAGCTTTCTCAGCACTAGATGTGGCAGATGTACGATGGTCGACATATTACATATTCATCATTGCTTTCGTTTGTACATTCACAGAAATACAAGTTTCTAATAAAAATCATGTCACCAGTGTTTTATCCTGCACAATAACTGTCAATCTAATATATTTAAACACACATCTTTTGTTGGTAAAGTGATGAATAGATAATACAAAGTTTATTTCTGTATGCACGTGTTGCTAGTATAGTGATGGTTAGATTTTTTATTTACAGACCAGTGGAGCCCATTGAACCTGGGGGGTAAGAAGCAATATGATCGTACCTTCTTACTTCTGCTGCAGTCTCAGCAATGCAAGAAACCTCAAGGTTTGCCTGATCTCGACATCATCAAAGATAAGGTGTGTTTTTGACGTCACTGTTTTGATTATCTAAAATAAAACATTAATATTTTGTTTCTAGTTCAAATGTCGTAATTCTTTTTATATAAAAGCTTAAGACTCTGCAAATGACCACTCTGCATCTATTGTATTCACAGATGCTTCAAAATAAGTTACCAGATATCAATTTAAGACCCCCACCACTCCAAGCACGGAATCATCCAGATCCATTTGTTCCACTATTCGCACGAACTGGCTCACCTCGTCCGGTAAAAATGTTTATTTTCATCTGTTGCAGATCTAGTATCTGCTTTTTAATGTATGTTTGTTTTTATTCTTTGGGCTAATTTTGTTTCTGATTTCTGTTTGATAACATTAGAATTGTGCATGTTACAAGCTTTTACTGAGTTAAGTTCAAAATTTGAACAACTTCATTATCAAAGTAAGTCAATAAACTTGGCATAAAATATACTTAATATTCAAATTTTAATGCAAGTTTTAATTTCTTAGTTTCAAAAGGAAATGTTTGAATTCAAAATTTTCACTTCCATCATGTAACTAATTTTCTCCGAATTGCATATTTGATATTTTATATCTACCCCATATATGATTTTGTGAGTGTGCCACCAATTACACACTTATTTATAGATATAGCTAAGTCACAATGTAAATTTATTGTCTCCAAGTTTATTGCTTTACTGAGATATAAACAAAAAGTCAGACCCATATATTATGTCCCTCCAATCTCATTCCATCATTCAAAAATAGTCAGTAATTCTCTCTGACATTTGCCATTGGATTATTTATATCCAATAAACAGAGCAGATGGTTCTTTACAGGAGGCTAGTTTGTTTAGGGGCCAGGTTAGAAAATGTTTATCCTCAGTTTCATTGTTTGCCTTTGTGTTGTTCAGCTTGACCAATTAGCAGAATTTTTCAACCTATTTATAGTTTAATGTCAGTTAAATTATAGGAGTTGTTCCAGAACAGTCTATTTTTAGTTTGTGATAATGTTTTGTGTTCTAAAGTGCATATTTATAGTAAAAATATTAGAATTTTGGATCACCAGTGTTTCATATGTCAATGGCAGAAGACTAGAGTCCAGACATCATTAATATATTAATTTCTTATTCTTTATGTATTGTTATAAATGAACAAAATGTCAAAATTAGAAATTCATTAGATTAAGATAATGAAATTTAAATGAAAAAATGTAAATAAAAAAAACATTTTTAGTGATACACAATATTCTAGTATGCGCCTAGTGTGTGTCTTTTTTGTAACTAAATTGTTTGTTCGGAGAACTCTGTTTGGCTATGATAGAGTACCCTAAGACTGTAAGGCAATAAAACTAAATGAACCTAGATTTGAAAAGTATATTAGTATTGGCTGTAAGAATAAATAGTGTGTGTAATTGTCTGTTACAATTTTAGAAAGACAAAAAGGGTAATTTAGGTTTCATATTTTTTTTTTGCTTTTTGTTTCACCCTTCTTTGCTGATTTTGATAGGGTAGAGAAAATAAAAGTGTAAAGTTTTATTGAAAAAAGCTTTTAATAATCATTTAAGAGGTTTCAGAGGTTGCATAAGTGAAATGTGAAAATTAGGATGAAAAATGTTTTTATTCTTAGTATGAAAATAATTTTTCAGTCTGACTTAGTAATGGCTCTATAAATTTACACAAAAATATGTAGTAAAAAATACTTAGTTAAAAAATCTGTTTTTGTTGTGTGTGTGTGTGTGTGTGTGTGTGTATAAAAATACTTGTAATGTTTAATAAAAGATTTCTAAATTTTGTAAAAATATATACATAGTACGTTCATAGTTGTGTACAAGTTTTAAGGTTATATAGTAAATAGGATGTGTTAATTTTTCTTTTTTTTAACGTACTTTTTACCCTCAGTAGTATACACTAAGTTGCAAACAGTTTTTGTTTTCTTCATTAAGCCTCCTGGTGGAATGGGTCGGAGGGCTAGTCAACCCAGTAGTGAAAAACCAAAAAAAATTATTAGCATCTCCACATCACTTAATAAGGATGTTAGACTTCATGAAGCACAAAATGCATGGAGACCATCGCATAAAGGTTCTAAGGAGGCTGATCCTGAAGATGTCAAGACTCAGGTACTGAATGTTTTATATAATAAAAGTAAAAGTACCCATCCCCAGTGATGGGAAAAGATTAAATTAATCTATCAATTTAAATTACTTCATGGACCTTAAAAAGGTTAATTGTGTTGTACTCTTGGTTTCATTCAGAGTCAAAGCTCTGAGCTACTTATACCGCTCGGCAATAACATTGGTAAATCTACATTTTTATTTGTTAAATTGCTTTACATTTTGAAATATGAATGATAGTGTGATTAATTCCTAATAATTTAATGTAGAATATCCTGCTTGCAAATAAAATTTGGCATCATAGTTATTCCTGCCTGTTCTCCCATAATTTCAAAAGTGAATGTTGAGCTTTGCCTGTGTGCACAATTTTTCAAATGGAAGACAGTTGATGCCATAGTTCATAATTATATAATATGATACTTGTTTTTAATACTTAATTGTGTAGAAACCTCACAATCTAACAAGGTACTGCTGCATTCTGGATAACTTTAATTTAATATGTTTTGAATATATCAAATTAGTATGGTATGGTCTTCTCCTCTATCCTATTTATAAAGTAATAGGTATGATTCATTACTCTGTTAGTTTTCTTGCTCTTGTTTCTTTTCTGTAAGCTATGTACTTTTTTAACCCTAAATTCATGAATTAAGCAGGCTTTGTTTAATAATAATGTGGAATATGTGACATCTATAAAATTTGCTAAAAATCTGCTACAATGATTCCTCTGGATATTATTAGGTCGTCAAGAAATCAATGTCGCCTTTTTTTAGATGAAAAAAACAGAATAACTTGTATATCAAGACAAAACATTTATCAAATGAAATAGTCTCCATTCTTATCGATGATG